ATCAAACACATGAACACACTAGAAAATGATTTCAACGATGAACAACGAACAAAACAAGAATTGAATCCTTTAACGATTTTGGATCCGGAAAATATCAAACAAAAATATGGACAAAAAATAAAACTCAAAAACTACTAACCGGATCGAAATGAAATATGTACGGACTGTTTCGACGAAACTCGAATGGGAATAAATCTGTCCGGACTCAACAACGAACAACGACCAACCAACGACGAACTCAAACAGGGATCGACGACATCGACCAAAACTCATCCATGTACGCGAACTCGACTGGACTGCTATGTGGGTTTTCGGACTGCTATGGACCTCACGCCTGTAGTAGGTTTGTTTGGGATGCTGCAAAGAGGAAAGCAGTAGCATCCGCTACTGCTGGACATCGGAAGTGAAATGGACGCAGCAGCAGCTCGGACGCGAGGAGGAGATGGAGCAGCGGCGACGGTGTGGTTTGGACGATGAAGCAGCGGCTATGGTTGTTCGAGCTGAAGAAGACGAATTGAGGCAGCAGCAGCTCGGTTGTTCGAGCTTGGTCGTTGACGAGGAAACACCAGCAGCCCGAAGCAGAAATGAGCAGCCAACAGCAACAATGGTCGACGCACCAATGGCGGAGCATCAGCGAAACGGAGGAGCCGGAGAAGATGAAGCAGTAGCAGCTGGTTGACGCAGCATCAACGGAGGTCGTTAATGGCGGACGTCTGGCGTGGTCATTCATGGTGAAGCAGTAACGAGAAACAGATGAAGTGAGGCAGCAGCTCGGTTGTTCGAGCTTGAAGCGGACAATGAAGGGGGAGCAACGCAGCGACCAACGGCTGCTCGCGAGAGATGAAACAATGACGACGACAGAAAGGTCGGCGAGAGGGGGCTGCTTCCGGGCCTGTTTGGTGGTGGCGTTACTGTGGTGGTGTTTTGTATTTTGGAGAAGAAGAAACCAAGGGAGGGGGGGCGGATGGTTTTGGTCCTTTTTTAGGGTTTCTTTGTCTTCTTTTTTTTTGTTTTGTTTTGTGTTGGACAAAATGAAGAATGGGTGTTGGGTTAATGGGTTAATGGGGCGGACCGGGTCGACCCGGTCTGAAGTGGACTGGGTCATGGGGAAGATTGGGCAATTATTTGGGCCTATGGTTTGAAAATTGAAGAAGTGGCCCAATC